ATGTTTTATCTTACCTCAAGAAGTTTCAATACCACGCGTAAAGACTGACTATTACCATTTCCACTGATGGAAAACACACATCTGTGACTGATACAGTAACATTTGTGTCATTTAAGAATTTGTAAACATAACGTATTCATTGATTTCTAGAAGCCATGATAACGAGAGAGTAAGTGTGATGACAACAAGGCTTGGCTGAATCCGACCGACATGATTACAACTATAAATGTAAAAAAAACTTGGCCAAATAACAATATAATTAATGTTATAATGTTCTAAATAAATGAATATTTCAATATTGCTATACTATGATTTTTATATATTTTTTGAAAACATTATTTCTTATATTGAAAGCTGTAACCAATTTTATTTTCATTAAACAACTTATGCAACTATAGGATTAATTGTGTACTCTATTTTGATTTTGTTAATTTACATGTAACCTATATTGTGTTGATTTAAAATAAAATAAAAATGTATTACATTTGAAGAATATTTTATACTCTTGTAGTTTTGTTAAACTGTTGATATTTTTAACGTGTAACACTAATGTTGTACGACCTTTTGTATACATCTTAAATTTGTAAATAAAAGTTTCCTTTTATAACTCTTCACTTTTTATAAACTGCTTTCTCAATTATTTTCTTAGTCGCTCTATAATTCTATACGAATGATGCTGCTGAAAAAATCTGAATATTGTTTTTATAATCAAATGAAAAATCGATAAAACCCCTTTCGACACGAGCTCAGTATATTTTTTCATGTATGGAAAGTTATGTCATTGGTGTCCTGACATTATATACCAAGTTTCCTCTCCATAAGTCAACTATCACGCAATTTAGGACATGCGTACAAATTCGAACATGTCGCAATTGACTAAAATGTCTGTGAAACCTTATAGAAAACATAGGCCTACGTCATAGAGACAACATAATCTCGAAAAAAGTTTATTGTTAAGTGAGAAATACACTGTTTATTAATGTAAATAATCATATTAAATAATTTCTTACATCAAAATCATATATTTTAAACTTCAAAATTCAGAAAAAATGACATAAGATTTGCTGATTTTGAAGAAAATACACACAAAAATATTGTAATCTCTTTAAAAAATATTATTTAAAACACAATGAATACACATGAAACTGCTTTACCCAAGCTGCAATCTACAAAATAACTTAATCTGCAGTATGAACTTAAAGAAATGTGCTCAGCTAGACTCATTATCTTCAAGACAAAAAATGTTTTACTTGTATAGTCGGTAAATAGTCGTTCCCCACCCACTAAAATATTAGCGGAGTGAATGCAATTGAGATATTTTAAGCGCCTTACAACAAGAAAATTATGCACATGCGTATACAGGAGCGCGAATCGAGAAAAAAGCGCCATATATATAATATATATATATATATATATATATATATATATATATATATATATATATATATATATATATATATATATATATATATATATATATATATATACTAGCCGTCCCGGCCAGGCCCTGCTCTGGCTTCTGCGAAAAACCTTTCTGTTAAAGACCATTACCTGTGTGTTTAGTAATCATCATAAACCCGGCATTGCCCACCCAAACCGCAACCAACCAAAACCAAAACAACAAAACGCAAACATAACGCTAACACAATTACAAATACAAACGAAAACAAAAACCTAACAACAAACCCAACCACAACCACAAACACCAATACAAACACAAAGAAAAAACAAACAAAAAAGCAAACGAAAACAAAAACCTAACAACAAACCCAGCCACAACCACAAACACCAATATCAACACAAAAAACAACGAAAAAGCAAACGAAAACAAACCAAATCCAAACGCAAAACCAACCAAAAACACAAATACAAACCCAAAGAAAAAAACACAAACAAAAACGAAAAAAGAAAGAACAAAAACGAACCAAATCAAAACGCAACCACTAACGCAAACCCACCTAAACACAAAGAAAACACTAACGCGAACATAAACGCGGGGACGGAATCACATGTTTTAGCTTAATGAACGACTAAAGTACCCCAACTTATTCATAGTCTTTTGCACTCACTTAAACGAACGCGCCTGTTTAAATTTAATGAACAATTATAATACTCCAAGCTTATCCGTAAAATACCTACAACATTTGCACTTGATCAATCCCCGCTAATTATGTAATTATTTTTTTCCCAACACCAAAACAAAGTAATAAAAAGTAAATTCTTTTCCACTAATGCAATGGTTTTATAAAGGGAAGTAATTGTGTTTTCCTAATTTATCAAAGGGAAGTAAGTGCTATAGGACTAAATAAAGACATAATTAGAATTTTTGCAAAAGATGATATTTTTTTAAAACTTGTGTTTAATGAACATGCTGAAAATTATTACTTTAAGTTTGATAAATGAAAATTATTTCCCAAAACTTTCAATATTAATTTTTTAACTTATAAATTTAGACCATAAGGACTTTAATTATCTAACACTTAAATCCATCGAAGTATGTCAACGACAAACAAACAAACTTATTACATGTTACATACAGAATTGAGCTTTATATATTAGATATATACAGCTACAGCCCCCACAACAGAAGGTGAATGGACAAAAGTTCAGGGAAAAAGAAATAAGCCTTCACGGAAAAATAAGAAAGATAAATTACGAAGCAAAGAAAACGAACACATCATTGAAACCGACACCATACAGAGCCCTACACGACCAACCCCAACACGCCCAACCGCAAAAGACAGGACCACAACAAAAAGGAAAACTTTCACACCCCCTCCACTAATCCCAAAACAGACTAAGGCGGACCAGGTTTTAAAGGCAGTGTAAGTAACCTTACAATCATAACCCTCAACATACAAAGCACAAAATACAAAGACAAGTACGTAAGACAATTAATCGACAAACATAAACCTGACTTCATTTTATTACAAGAAACTAACTTCAAAAATAAATACACAGCAGACAAATTCACTCACAACTTAGGGTTAACTCAAGCACACCACAGCTACAGTTCACTAATCACGGGAAGCGGGTCAACAATTTTTAACACATCAAATAAGTTCAACATAACAGACACGCACGCCGACTCTGAGGGAAAATTAGCAATAGTTACAATCGAGGGACAAGAGGGTAAACTAAGCATAGTCAATGTACACGGACCACATAGACCAAAAGACAGTAAATTTTATGAAAACCTGGAACATTTATTAACTAACAGATACAACCAACATGACATCATTTTGGCCGGGGACTTCAATTTCGTGGAAGACAGATTAGACATTTTAGGACCAAAAGACATAATTCGAAACCGTTTCACCGCAGACAAACCACACGCCGACTCAATCAACAACATTAAAACACATTTCAATTTAGTCGACACATACAGAGCGCAATATCCACACACCATACAAACCACCCACGGAAGTAACACATCTGGGAATAGATTTCGTCTAGACAGAATTTACGCCCCATCGAACATAAAAATCAACAAAGTAGAACACCTATTCTCAACACTACAGTTTAGCGACCATACAGCAGTTCTGACAACTTTAAAAAATGAACAAATACAAAACAAACCAAAACACAACACATATTGGAAATTCAATAATACACTTTTACTAGACGAGCGCTACATTAACACTATAAAAGACTTAAAAAATTTTTACACGCAGTCATCACCAAAATTTAACAAAATCCAACATTGGGAAGATTTAAAACAAGACATTAAGCGGGTATCTATCCAATATGCATGTAGCATTAATAGCGTAAGGGCCCACATAGAAACTAAATTAGAAAAACAACTAAGTATACTGAAAGGAATCAATAACAACAAAGAACAAATAGACGCAACAGAAACAGAACTTTCTAAAATACAAGAGCACAAATATAGAGGGGCGCAAATTAGAAGTAGAATCGAACAAATAGGCTCGGAAAATCCCAGACACCACACCTTAATTTTAGAACAAAGCTTTCAGAGGGCAAAACAAATCACACATCTCATAGATAACAATAACCAAGAGACGACTGACCCTGAAAAAATTCAATCAATATTTAGAGACTATTATACGCAACTATATAAGTTCGAAGAGACAAACACAGACATACAAGACAAATACCTTAAGTTTATTAAACCCTTACATGACAGCGACAAAATTAATATTGACACCCCCTTTCAGCCAGTCGACATAACCAAAGCCATACTGAAATTAAATTCAAATAAATCGCCAGGGCCGGACGGCCTGACAAGCGAATTTTTTAAAGCCTTTTCAACCGACCTAACTTCTCTCCTTTTAGCTACCTTTAGAGAAATGTTTCTGCTAGAACAATGCCACGAAAATTTCAACAGATCATACATAACATTAATACGCAAACCCAAAACCGATCCTAAACTAACTCAAAACTATAGACCTATTTCTCTCTTAAACACTGATTACAAAATCCTATCCAAAGCTCTAGTCTCCAAAATTGAACCGCACTTGCATAAAATTATAAATGTAGACCAACAATGCAACATCACAGGTAGCAACATACAAAATCACAATCACTTAATTAGAGACATCATCCACTACACACACGAGAAAAACACACAAGCATGCATACTCAGTTTAGATCAAGAAAAAGCCTTCGACCGGGTAGCTCACAAATACCTTCATAAAATCTTAGAAGCAAACAATTTAGGACAATACTTTACGACATGGATAAAAATAATCTATTTTAATGCACATAGTCACTTACTGATAAACCATAATATTTCCCAACCCTTTAGAATAAATAAATCAGTCAGACAAGGCTGTCCCCTATCTCCAATCCTTTATATATGTAAGCCCTGCTAGGGGGGGATACCTAATATCTACCCTTCTAGGCTTATCTAACTAACTACTGTCCGGTCAGTGCAAGTCCGGTAACCCAGACTGGTTAATAACCTAACCTTAGTCTAAATTAAAAACTACTAAAAAATAAAACAAAAACTTAAACAATATAATAAACTTTATTTAACAAAATAATAAATATGGAACCAAAAGTTATAAACAAACTAGAATTTAGGTAAAACAGAACACTGGAGACATACAAAACAGAAACAGAACTCAACAGAACAAAACACCCAATTTCGGACCACCGTCCTAGAAAGAGGAAAAATAAGACAAATCAATTTAAAATGTAAAAAAAGTTATACACAAGGCAGTAAGCTGACACAATTGTCAGCCTAAACAAGAGGCTCTCATAAATGAAAGTAAAATCTACAATAATCCATGACTAAACCCAGGCCATCGTGCTACCATGTGGTCTGGATAAAACAAACATTGAAACTTCTCAAAGTCAAGACTAAATAGATCTAGTATATAGTCACTTTGTATACAAAATATGGAAAACATAATAAAACACTATAAAAATAACCCTACGTTACCATACACCACATAAACGTGACACAGAAACTCTTCAACACACAGGCCTCGACATTCCAGCAGAATGTCCCTCCATGTCGACACACCACATTCACGAACAAAGAAACCAATACTACGAACAAAGAAACCAATGCTACGCACAAGAAAATAGTCCCTAATACAATAATAAGTAACATTCAGGACATAAAGCAAAGTGGAGCAACAATCCAAAACAAAGTTTGCATAAATAATAACATCAAAATATAAGCAAGACACAATAACCAGGCTAGCAATCATTTTAAAATAAAAATCATATCAGCGCCATAATAGCGGACTACTTAACTAAAAACCACAACAATCCTCAAAGGAACATAAAAAGCGACATTCGCCTTCTTAGTTACAAATAATTATAATAACAGATAAACACACTCCAGCCGCTCACATACACGCCCCTTAAAGCTTGCGGTCACCGCAAGCTAAATAACTTGAAAAAAATCAGCCCACAGGGCATAATCATAAATGTTACAAAAATACAAAAACTTTGCACAATCACAATTTTGCAAAAGAACTTGCAAAAAAATCAGCCCGCAGGGCACAATCATAAATTTTACAAAAAACAAAATTTTGCAAAAAAATCAGCCCACAGGGCACAATCATAAATGTTACAAAAAACAAAATTCTGCAAAAAAATCAGACGATGTGGCTGTAGCAGCCGGCGGTACAACTTTGACCGGCCTTGGGGAGGGCGGTTGAGCCTTGGGAGGCACATATCTCCTAATCTGTGTACTGGCCACCCGGCGGGTGCCAGAAGGGCCATCTTTCTTTTTAATGGCGTAACCCCCGCCGGTGATCGGAGGTAATTCGACAACGACATAAACTGTCGGGCCGTCCAGGTCTGCCATTTTGCGTCTGCCAAGTGGGGGTTGTCTCAGAAGGACCAGGTCGCCTATGGCCAGTTCAGCTACAGGTGCCTTTTTGACCTGTTTGTCCTTCTTGCTTGACTCTGTCTGGGGGCATGCCCCAGCACCACCACCTGGTGCCTTAATTAAGGATGGGTTAGGTGGAACCATTGCCTCTAGTTCCTCAGATTGGTCCACCTTTACACTGGTTATGCTGGCGCGTAGGCAGGATGTTGGGCCTGATACCACTGACGGATCTGGGTGAAAAGGTTGGTCTAATGGCTGTACCACCTTGTCGTCCTTCATTCTGGAGTCTCCTTCCGTCGCCTGAATGGTTGGTACACCCTTGGCAGGCACCAGAGTCCTTTCGCGGGGGCGGAGGACCTTGTCCCCTCGCCATACCTTCGGTGTCACTTGATTCCCTTTGGGCACATATTTCTTTGCCCTATGGCAATGACGGGCGAGGTGACCCCTCTGGTGACAGTTAAAGCAGCCCTTTGATTGGACCTCCGTGCGCTTGCGAGGTGCTTGGCACACATTGGAAAATTTGGGGTCCCGCGTAAAGTGCTTCAGCAGAGCAGCAAGCTGCTCTGTGAGCCTGTTGACTTTGTCCTCCAGCTTGGACCTGAACGAACATTTTTCAATGGGCCTGGAATTTATTGCTGCCACGTAGGCAGGTTCAGCAAGAGGGTCCTTGTCTCCAGACCATCGAATGGCCGCATCACGTATGGCCAGGAAGGGGATCTTGGGGTCCCGGAAAATCAGCTCGTGCAGATGGCGTCTGACTGTGGCCTGGCTCAGGTTTTCCACAAACTGGTCTCGAAGAAACCCTGCATCAGTCTGTGGGACCTGCAGGGCACTCTGCCTCGTAACCAGGGTCTTGAAGGCCCTGTGCAGTCGGTGTGAGTAGGCCCTCACCGACTCGTGTTGGCCCTGTACAACCATCTGAAACTGGGCCATGAGCTGCGGTACTCTCCTCTTCTCGCCGTACACCTCTCTGAGGAGCCTGAGGGTGGCTTCTGGGTCGTGCTGCAGGTCATCACCCCTGCAGCTCAGCTCCTCTCTCACCGCTTCCCCCAGGTACTGCCAGAGGAGGTCCTTCCTCTCTTCTACTGAGAGGTTTCCCCTGGCCTTCCAGAGGGACTGGACCTCTTTGATGAACCGGTCCACCTCATAGCCATGGCTGTCCCCATGAAACTTCCTGATGAGGATCTCCCTGGGTGGAACGATGATGATGGTTGGTGCCACCTCCGCCATCTCGTCCGAATTGGGTGTTTTAAACAACAAACGATTCGTACACTAAACAATAACTAAACACAAATGGTTCCATAAAGGGCCTATCAAGAAAAAAAATTATCTAAGCTAACCTAGTCCTAACAGAAAAACAAAAATTTAACTAGACTAAAGCACTGACCCCACTCGTGCTACCAATTTGTAAGCCCTGCTAGGGGGGGATACCTAATATCTACCCTTCTAGGCTTATCTAACTAACTACTGTCCGGTCAGTGCAAGTCCGGTAACCCAGACTGGTTAATAACCTAACCTTAGTCTAAATTAAAAACTACTAAAAAATAAAACAAAAACTTAAACAATATAATAAACTTTATTTAACAAAATAATAAATATGGAACCAAAAGTTATAAACAAACTAGAATTTAGGTAAAACAGAACACTGGAGACATACAAAACAGAAACAGAACTCAACAGAACAAAACACCCAATTTCGGACCACCGTCCTAGAAAGAGGAAAAATAAGACAAATCAATTTAAAATGTAAAAAAAGTTATACACAAGGCAGTAAGCTGACACAATTGTCAGCCTAAACAAGAGGCTCTCATAAATGAAAGTAAAATCTACAATAATCCATGACTAAACCCAGGCCATCGTGCTACCATGTGGTCTGGATAAAACAAACATTGAAACTTCTCAAAGTCAAGACTAAATAGATCTAGTATATAGTCACTTTGTATACAAAATATGGAAAACATAATAAAACACTATAAAAATAACCCTACGTTACCATACACCACATAAACGTGACACAGAAACTCTTCAACACACAGGCCTCGACATTCCAGCAGAATGTCCCTCCATGTCGACACACCACATTCACGAACAAAGAAACCAATACTACGAACAAAGAAACCAATGCTACGCACAAGAAAATAGTCCCTAATCAATAATAAGTAACATTCAGGACATAAAGCAAAGTGGAGCAACAATCCAAAACAAAGTTTGCATAAATAATAACATCAAAATATAAGCAAGACACAATAACCAGGCTAGCAATCATTTTAAAATAAAAATCATATCAGCGCCATAATAGCGGACTACTTAACTAAAAACCACAACAATCCTCAAAGGAACATAAAAAGCGACATTCGCCTTCTTAGTTACAAATAATTATAATAACAGATAAACACACTCCAGCCGCTCACATATACTAACACTCGAACCCCTGTTAGAATGCATTAGAAACACTAGAGACATCAGAGGAATCGACATTCCAAATCAATTAAACAAAAAAATTCTAGCGTACGCTGATGATACAGCTTTTACGCTCCAAACCGAAAAATCTATCATACTAATAACAGACACTGTAATATAGTGAGACTTGTGAGATCAGGGGAACTCACTCTTCTTGTATTAGTTATATTTATGATGTTGTTATTGAGTGATGTCCCTTGTATTTATCTATTGTTACTTCCTGTTCCGGCCTCCATCATGATGGCAGAGGTCCAATAAAATCTATATACAAACAACGCGGCTTCTCGTCAGTGTTTCCAATCTACCTCAATTGGCGACGAGGATAAATAATCCACTAGAAAGAGCACCTACTTACTCAAAAAAGAGGTTTGCTAGAGCATATTGGCTAAGTATTTCTAGGAAAATGGCGCTGTATGGCCAAATAAAAGAATTTGATTCGAATGATGAAACCATTCAGGATTATCTAGATAGGTTAAGTTTTTACCTTGAAGCAAACGACGTGACGATAGAAGCCAAAAAGAGAGCTGTTTTGTTAACAGTCATAGGGCCTCAACAATTTAGGCTATTAAAGGACTTATGCGCACCAGCTAGTCTAACTACCAAGAGCTTTAACGAGCTGAGCAAATTGCTAACAGACCACCATGCGCCCGCACCATCAAAGGTCCTATGTCGAGCTAGATTTGACGGTAGGACTCGTCAACCAAACGAGTCAATATCAGAATATGTTGCTGCTTTACGTCATTTAAGTGAATTTTGTGAATTCGGAGACACGCTGTCTGTCAGACTATGTGAAAAGTTTGTGACAGGTGTAAACAGCCCCGATGTTCAAAGAAAGTTGCTGCTCGAGTCAGATCTAACATTGGAAAAAGCAATACAACTTGCAACTTCATTCCAGCAGTCATCTGATGCGGCGAGATCTCTAGCACCCTCAGGGATCCATGCAGTAAACAGCAGGTTAGTCAACAAACACCAACCCCATCAGAGCATTTCAACTTATGCTAAACAGCCTGCACGTTCAAAGCCTAGATCTAAATCTAGTAATAATTATCAAAAATGTCATCGATGCAAAGGTCCCCATGCATCTCATCGATGCAAGTTCAAGTCAGCGACTTGTTATAAGTGCAGTAAGCAAGGTCACATTGCTAAGGCCTGCTTTGCAAAGTCTTCGTCTGTTGCTAAATCTAGCCAGTCAAGACAGTACCGCAACCAAAGGCAGCACTATGTTAACTCTCACCAAGACTACCTAACCCAACCAATGAACCACTCTACCGGTGAAAATGCTCAAACTGATTCGCAGCCGGATTTCAACCTGTACTCTGTGAAATCAAAAAGTCATGCTCCCATCAATGTACTAGTTTATATAAACGGTAAGAGCATCAGCTTCCAACTTGACACTGGAGCATCTCTAACAGTTATCACAAAGAAGGACTTTGACGCTGTCACAGGAGGATCAGTGCCTCTACAACCATGTCACATGTATCTAACAACATACACTGGTGACAATGTTCCGGTAATAGGAGAGTGTATGGTTCATGTAAGTTATAATGGTCAAAGTGTTAAACTTCCTCTTCTTGTGGTTGAAGGAAATGGACCACCATTACTAGGTAGGAACTGGTTAAGTGATCTTAAGTTAAATTGGGAGAGTATATGTTCATTGAACAATGCAAGAGAATCTAGTCTTACTTCAATAGATAAAGTTATATCTGAAAATGAAAGTGTTTTTGGTAATCCTGGATTACTAAATGATAGAACAGTGAAGATAAGCATTAAAGACACAAATCCAAGATACTGCAAAGCTAGAGTTCCACCTTATGCAGTGAGGGATAAAATTGAAAATGAGCTAAGTAGATTGGACTCTAATGGCATTATAAAGAAGGTAGACTATTCCGATTGGGCAACGCCCATTGTGCCAGTGTTAAAGAAGGATGGTTCTGTAAGAATTTGTGGAGACTATAAAGCCACACTGAATAAGCAAATAGAGCTAAATAGGTACCCTATTCCTAACATTGAGGAAATTTCTTTGAATTTGGCAGGAGGAGACAAATTCACTGAATTAGACTTTAGTCATGCTTACACTCAACTAGAACTGCATCCAGATTCAAAAGTCTATACGACAATAAACACACATAAAGGACTCTACCAATATGAAAGACTATGTTTTGGCATATCATCTAGTCCTGGAATTTTCCAAGCTGTCATGGACAGTATTTTTAAGGACATTCCAAATGTTTGTGTTTACTTTGACAATGTGTACATAACTGGTAAGAATGACACTGAACATCTTAAAACACTAGATAAAGTCTTGAAAATAGTTGGTGAAAAAGGTTTAAAGATAAACAAAGATAAATGTCAATTCATGCTGACAGAAATTAGTTTTCTTGGTTATATTTTAAGCAAGCAAGGTATCAGACCTCAACCAGAGAAAACAAAAGCCATTAAAGAAGCACCCAAACCTGAGAATACCCAACAACTAAGAGCTTTTTTGGGCTTGATAAATTACTATGCAAAGTTCATAGGGAATCTGTCTGGTAAACTATCACCACTGTACAAGCTGCTACAGAAAAATGCAACTTGGCACTGGGGTAAACATCAAGATGCTGCTTTTAATACAGCAAAAGGAGCTTTGTCTTCTGACACCTTACTAACTCACTATGACCCAGGGAAAAGACTTATATTAACATGTGATGCTTCACCAGATGGTGTAGGAGCAGTCTTGTCCCACATGGATGAAAAGGGTGACAGATCCATTGCTTTTGCCAGTAGATCTTTGAATCAGGCTGAGAAAAATTATTCTCAGTTAGATAGGGAAGGCTTAGGCATCATTTTTGGTGTTAAGAAATTTCATAAGTTTCTGTTTGGTAGGAAGTTCACCATCTTTACAGATCATAAACCATTGCTAGGTTTATTTGGAGAAAACAAAACCCTACCTGAGCATGCCTCACCAAGAATTCAAAGATGGGCTATCACACTAACTGCATACAATTATGAATTGAAATACAAACCTGGATCTGAGAATAGTGCAGATAGTCTTAGTAGATTACCTTTAAAAAACCAAAGCCTTAGCTATGTACCAGAAGATGTATTTGTTCTTTTCACTATCATGGATAACTCCAATATAAATGTGAATGATGTAAAAAGAGAAACACAAAAAGATGAGTGCTTAATAAAAGTATATGAGTACTGTAAGAATGGTTGGCCTGAAGAGTCTGTGAATGATGATTTAAGGCCATATAAAATAAGAAATAAAAACTTTTGTGAAGATAATATAAAAGATGGAGAAGATGCAGTCCATTATCAGTCAGAGTTACCTAAACAAAGTATTTGTAACTTAATAAATGATTAGTAATAAAACAGATAGTATTAGTTACCTCACAAGTTAAAGACAGTTACAAGTACTATGGACGTTTCGACCCAAATAAATGATTATGGTGATATGGCAATTTCAAATGCTTTTAAAGAGAATACATTAGTAAGAAGGAATGTGATCATCAAACAACTTTGCTAACATCATTAGCACTTACAGAAACTAAAAGGGTAACATCAAAAGAAAAAAAAATATTTTTGCCATTTAATACACCCACTTCAAATACTGGATCACAGTTGCAAATTGATATGGTCCAGGATAGTACTTCTAAACAGTATTTTTGGTTACCAAAAAGCACTATCAGATTACCTGAGAAAATTGATCAATCAAAGAAATCTATGTCAGTTAAAGATCTGAATAACAGCATAATACTTTCAGATGCCAATTCAAAAATAGTTCCATTAAA